AAAGTTGGGGAGGGGAGGGGGGGGGGGGTTGGGGGTTTTCAAAAACCAGCTTTCCCCTCCCCAGGCCTTGTTATTCCACATGAGATAGTACCAAGGATGCTGGGGCTTCTAGTATAAGTAAAGAAGGGACATGATGATAATGGGATTTGCAGTTTTACAATAAATGGTGCCAAGACATGTTCAGATTTGTATATCTACTATATATGATATTAAGACATTCTGCAGCCTTTAGTATAACGGATGGCACTCGGATTTGATGGGACTTTTAGTTCAAAAACAAAATTACACCACAAAATGCTAAATGTTGCAGAACAATAACAGGTCTACAGAAAATGTCATGGTTTTCAATCTATTAATAGATAGCTGCAACACATCATCCTAGGACTTGTATTTCTTCTGAAAATAGAGACTGCTGGCGCATAGAGTTCACCAATAAGCAAACAGTCTGATATGGACAGGTAATTCTGGTACTCTAGTTCAGAAGAAAGACAAGATCCAACCTGTAACATAGCAGCTTTACTACTTCCTGGTTCTGTTTAGCTGCCTTCTGGGTCTTCTCCCTATTAACTGGACTAAGTGTGTTCAGGTGCAGGACGGCTACTAAGAAAAAAACTGTAAATTTTCTAAAAGGGGACCATACTTCTACTTTAACTGTGTATTTAGATGTTTGCTCATTTTATTCTATATATCTACTTTTGAATAAATGGAAACACTTCCTTAGTATTCCTTTATGTAGTCTACAATCCACTACTTCAACATTTTACAAGTTTATAATAGAAATGTTCTTTTTCATGCAGATTACATATAATGAGGATATATTTAATAATCTTGCTTTTGCTATTTTAAAGAAAGCAATCACACAATTTTGTACCTTGAAAAAAACCCCATACTTTGTGGAGGATCCTCTAAAAAAGGAGAGTGAGATGTGAAGGAAGCACATTTAGATTTTAAGCAAGGATTTTGAGTTTTTTCTTGAGCATAAATGCTAAACAAGGTGAAAATGTGTTTTTGGCTACTCTTAAAAAGAATCCCAAGCATCATTATCATAACACACTTTATGATTCACTGTACTGTAGAGCCCCTACTGAGACTACAATTTCATAAAGGTGAAAAAGGTATAAAAACAGCAGCCAGAAATTTACTTACAGTGCATAACGTCTCAAATGTTTTTGCTGATACAAATGATCCATCAAGGCCAAATAGAAATATAGATGCATAGGAAAGCATTCCTCCAAGGATAATAAGGTTATTCATATAAGGACTAGACATCTTTATTAACCTGCCAAAAGAAAGGCACAGACAATTTACAGTACAGAAAAGTGCTCAACTAGCATACTGTAAACAGCAAATTATGTTATTTTGTTTGACTGTTGGTATAACAGATCATATTTTATATCCTAAAAATTGATCAAATAATTGGAAAAACTGCTAGCTCAACATAATATTCTATAAACAGCTTTGCGTTGCTTGCTCAGTAAGACCTGCATTGAACAGACAAATTGATATTACCTTTTTCAGAGAAGCTAAAAACAATTGCAGATATTCATTTTTAATCATTTAAAACATTTCTGATAACAGAAGCAAATAACCTGTTCCAGAACTTTACCCTGTGCACAGTATTGTGTAGTATTATAGAACTATTGATATATTTCAATAGTGGAAAATCAGGCAAATACTAAAAAATAAATCTTGAATCCAGTTATTTATTCTTTAAAGTATAAAAGTATTTAAAATAAAGCAAGTATAAATATATGAATCTGTCCTTATAGACAGATAGTAGATGAGATCCCCTTTATGACAACACTTAAAGCACATGGAAAGTCCTCATTTCAATAATGCCCCAAATGGTAGCTCTAAGTTTTCATTATTTTTCTGTTTTGTTGTTCTTTTTGTAATCCCCAATACCTATGCTGCAGCGTGGCAGTTGGAGGTTTCACCTCTACATTGATATCGGTACAGGAAATGATGTCACCCCTTGAGCCCTGCTTTGTCAGCCTGGCCACAGAACTAGTGTCAACATCAGAAAAAAGCAGAATCACCAGGTAATTTATTCATGGCATTTTAGGGTAAGAAAGGGGGAGATGTTATGAATGGACATATTTTTTGATGGAAAACTTGCATATTGCATTATTAATGTGACACTAAACTCAGGAGTTAAATCTTAAAACTGCATTCAAGTACTTTAACTATTAACAAAAATGTATCTTATGTGCATATCACTCAGCTGTAGATCCTCAAATCATTTCTGTATTGGCGCTGACACTGTCCTTCCTTCTGTAGGGTGGCTACTTTTGTGCCCCATGATCGCTCCCGGGATGGACTACAATCTCAATACAAATGAGGAAACTGAATGTGAGATTGTTGTCCATCACGGGAGCAAGCTTGGAACTATGGCTACTTTACAACACTCAGCGACCATGGGGGGAACACCCTCCAAATTAAGGAAGTGTCAGCAGAGTTCAGTTCGATTTCAAACTTTAGAACATGTGAAAAATTTGAATTCAAACTTTGAACTCAATGAAAGTCTATGAGACCAGAACTCTGAAAATCAAATGTCCCCACTTTGAAGGCTTATATGCAAGTTACTGGCCATAAAAAGGGTATGATGATTCGGGTACTGCCCTGGGGGACATGTATCAATGAAAAAAACGCTTTAAAAAAAATACAGTTTTTAAAAGAGCAGTGCTTTTAACATTGCTTAAAGTGAAACAATAAAAATGAAAAATTCCTTTACATATCGTGCCTGGGGGGTCCCCTTAAACTGCATGTAAAGTAGCGCATAGAAGTATATAAGCTGTTGCAGCAAAAAATTACATTTATAAAGCAAAAAAAAAGCACGGGGATCCCCCCTAAGTCATACCAGGCCCTTAAGGTCTGGTAGGAATCTTAAGGAGGAACCCTACCCCCAAAAATTGGGAAAGAAGACATGGGGTCCCCCCTAAAATTCCCAACCAGACCCTTGACCCGTGCACAGGCCTGGCAGGGCAGGAAAGGGGAGGGGGATTAGCAAGTGCCCCTCCCCCTCCGTGCCATACCAGGCCACCCTGGAGAAGCACCTTGTCCCCGTTGCCGATGGGGACAAGGGCCACTTCCCCACAAGCCCTGGGTGTTGGTTGTGGGGGTGCGGGCAGGGGGGGCTTATTCACATCAGGGTATCCCTTTAATAAAGGGGCACCCAGATGCGCCCCCCCCCCCCTTGTGAATGAGTAAGGGGTACCCATTCACCAAAGGGTTAAAATAAATTGTAAATAAAACACCAGACTTTTCAAACAATCTTTTAATTGAAAAAAAAAACAAAAGACATGTTTTTGACAAGTCTTTTATTTAAAAATAAAATAAAAAATGGATCCACCAACTTAACTAGCCATTGCTCGCCAGTTTGCCTGCATGCTTGAACCTTCTGTTAATGTAGCTAGAAGTCTTTCATTTAGTAGCAGAATCACTATCACCTTTAAATAAGAGATCCCCACCAGCTTCTATTTGAAATTGTAATGAAGCTGGTGGGAATCCTGAGTAATGTTATTGACTAAATATAGGGGCAAGAAGTTCATACTCCCATCCTGTCCCCTATAAAGGATTTGGGGGTCCCTGGAAATAACCTCCAAGTAAATAAGGGGTACTTGTTACTCATTCACAAAAAAAGGTAAATAGCAAATAAAAACACCCACACTGTGGAAAAAGCCCTTTATTAAAATAAATAAACAATGCCCTCCCCCCCCAATGTACATACAACATCAATCACATCATCTATCCAATGTACCTCCACACCAATCACAATGAGCCATATTTGACTACGCTGACCTGCCCCCACAATGATGCTACCTTGTCATGGCCTTATTTGATCAATGGCATCACCCAGGAACCCTGGCCTATTTTTTTTTTTTTTTTAAACAGAAGCCAGTGAAGAGCTGTCATTTAGAGGTGATAGTGCTACTACTGCTAAACAACAGATCCCCAGCTGCTCTTTAAAAAAGAAGAAACCCTTTTATAATACTTTAAATACCATGCTTTTGGGATACAGTAGCATGTATCCCAAATCCTTTAAATAACATGCTTTTGGGAAACCGTTGCATGTATCCCATAAGCATGTTATTTAAAGGATTGGTGTATACTTAATATTTTTCTGTAGGCCACATTAAAAGAACGTTGAATGGTATTTTTTAAAACAGGTTTATATTGGTACATGTCCCCCATGGCAATGTCCAGCTACTAATGCCTTTTTTAACCAAAGCTTGCAAATCGGCCTTTAAAAAAAGCCAGCTTTAAAAAAAGCCAGACATCGCTTGACAGGTGGCGGAGCCAAACAATGTAATTGGTTGTTAGGATGCAGGCGGGCACACCATGACAAGCTCTGTTGATGTAAGATTGGCAGCATCTTAGCAACAAAATGATACTATGCAGGCCACACAACATGATTGGTTGATAGAACACATGCAGCTCCATACCGTCACTGGTTGTTATGGTACACCCGTCTGCATCCTAGCAACCATGATGATGCCGTGTGACCCAGCCACTAGTGTCCTAGCAACCAATGATGTTGTGTGGTTTTCATGGTGTCTGCTCCTGGGTTTGGTTTGCTTGGATGGTTTGGGGAACCCGGATTTCTGGCTGGGCTTGGTGAATTCCCATGCGAATCAAACCCAGCCACGTTTGGCTCAACAATAGTGTCTAATTGTGCCTCTGTTAAAACAATAAGTATTTTGCTGTAAATGCAGCAACTTCTAGGGTATAGGGCAATGGTTCCCACCATGCATACCCGTGTTCAGCTTGCTAGTGCTTAGGAGCATGTGATTGATGTAGAAGCACACTGAGTGCCAGTGGCTCCTGCACATCCCAATTATCTTCCCCTTAAGCGTTCTGTACCATGAACTTTAAACATAATGGGGATAATTTATCAAAGTTGGAGCAGACAGAATCCTGAGCAGTTGCCCAGGAGCAGCTTTTCTTGTCAGTTTGTTCAGTTGCACTTTGAAAATGAAAAATTGAAGCTTGCCATGGACAGCTGCTTCAGATCCTGTCAGCTCCGGTTTTGATAAATTCTCTTCATTGTGTTTACAGAGGGAGTGATGTGACCTCAAAGCACTTCCTTAGAGTTCATGAGGCAGAGCTGATGTGCTTTAGTGACCAAATGCTGGCTAATTACAGGGAGCTCCCCCATGAAGAAAAAATGCAATAATATAAAAAGAGAAATTAATTAATTGAATGAGTTAAAAAAAGTTGTATATTTTGGATGACATTGCCTTTTACTGCATAAGCGCCAAACACTTGTGTAAGAGAGTGCAATGTCCTGTGAAAAACTTCCTGTTAAAATGTCACTGTTGTGCTAATTCCTATTTGCACAAACCCAACTTGACCTTATGTTAATGCTACATTCCTGTTTTACACAAACATATCATTGTGTTCTGGGTGCTTCATGATATAATGTACTAATAATAAAAATAGTAATAGCAAACACACTTTTTACCTTGCGGGACTGCAACGTATTCATGTGAATAGAACCTAAACAATTGTGTCACTTGAGACTTGGTAGGCCACCACTGGTATAAGGAGAGAAGATATCCATCTTTCTAGAATGCAGTGCTCAGTGCCTAAGTAATATATTTTTAGGCTTAAGAACTGTCAGGTGGTCAAGGGGCTTACGTTTATGCAAAAAGCTAGTTTATTCATTCCAAAAGGATCCATTAGTACTGGCAGAGGGATATTACAAGGTATGGTCAAGCACTACTATGTGCCACATACTCATCTCTTAGTTTACATTGATACTATGTTTGCCAGAACAAGTATTTTTTGCTGAATACCTGAGTAGTGAATGCAAACAAGAATTGGTGTACCACCGGCCAGAGAATCCTGAGAGCATGTTTTTTTTTAATCATAACTCATTTGGAGATAGTACTTCAGGACCACACAACAAACTAATGTGAAATATTTCTAGCAGGTGTTCCAGCACCCAGCAAATATAAGGAAAACTATGGCAAAGAAAATTTGTAGACTTTAGGACACAAAGCTTAAATGTGCGGCAAACATGCACATACTGCCAAGACTAAAAAGTAAATATAAATTGTACTTACTTCTGGTTCCTATTTTTGATGTTAAAAAATAAAAATGTGCTGGCCATGATCATTCCGATAATCGTCAGGGCCGAAAGTATGCTGTACAGTGGCAGATGGATCTGGCGTCGCTGCATTCGGATGAACGTTTGATCTTTTGGAGGTTCCACTCCTAAATGTAACACAGGCTTTGTCTTAGATATTTGTATGTATCCCAGTCAAACAAATGCTGCTTGCACAACATATAAGAGACTACAGATTTCTGTGCATTAACCATCTCTCTTCTTTACATTATTGTTATTTGAAGCCAAACTCCAGCCACAAATGTTTTTTATTAATGTGGAGAAGGGTAGAGATAGGTTTTAATGTTAGAATGTTTAATGTTAGAAAGCAGCAGCTCTTTAAGCCACAGATAACACAATGGAGGAAGACCTTCTAAAGTTTTTATTGTTTATTGACAACAAGCCAAAGGATTTAGGGATATTACACCCACTTTATCTGAACTATGTAGAAATTATATTCCATTTTTAAAAAACAGTTTGGACATATCTAAGAGCAGATGTTTCCGAACAACTTGTCACTGGTTTCAAAAAATAAATGCAGAAAGGGAGCTTTGCTCTATTGAGGATAATTATTGCTGTCTATGTGCCTACTAGGCAGATCCTGCCCCCATCTTTATAGGTGTCACTAAGATAATACATTAGGGGAAATGTATCCACTGGAGATAACAGGCAGTAATGAAAACAATGTAAAAAATGCTTTAAGACCCACTAACACTTAAAGCCTATTTCCGGGTAAAAAAAAAGCTACCCCCACACTGCAAGGATTAATTGCTTGTTAATTTCTGGGGGAGCTGTGTAAACACTTTTATTTACCTGATCCCTCGTCTCCTCGACACTCTGTCTTATGGACTGTCCCAAGGCTTCCTCATTTATAATGCAGTGTTATGGGCCCTGCATTGTATGTGATGTCAGCGGGCCTCCGACCGTTAGAGCGTATGGGGGAAGAGGCTGTGGATGCTGGTTTTGGAGCCTTTGGGAGTGGGGATTAGTAAGTAAAAGTCCTTTACACAGAACCCCTAGATATTAATGAGAAATTAATCCTTGCAATGTGGGCATAGCCCCACTGGAAGGGGACTTTTTTTTATCCCTAAAGACAGCCTATAAATGTTCCATTGCAGTGCATTAACGCATGCTATCATAAGTGTTACTGTGCATTGTGTAAAAGCAGCCCACTTATTTTGAATGGGTTGCCAAGGCAAGTTAAGGATGAAAAACATGTACATGACCTTTTTTAAAAAATTCAGCACACCACAGCACACAGTATGTACATTGTGGTGTGCTGCGGCATGCTGTATAATGTGTTGGGGTGCCATCAACAACAAATGACACTGGGGAGGGTATAAAAATAAAATCACTTAAACTAAACGTAGATAATTTAATCATAGGTAAAAATAACACAGAAAGTAGTAAAAAAGGAGTTCATAATAGTGGGCTCACTCCAGTCAATATAGGAAATCCGTTGGCACATGTAAGTATAACTACCAACGGACGACCGAAATCAAGGCAGAATAATAACAATAAAAATAGTGGGGAACAACAAGGTAGTAAACTTTTGTCCCACAAAAAGAGAGGAATTAAATGTATGTACACCAACGCTAGAAGTACACATAGAACAGGTTGAGCAAGTGTGAATGGAACCTTAGTGAAGGTCAGCTTAAGCAGTTGCACTGATTTCAGTTGATGTGCAAAGTATGTAAAGAACATAATATGAAGAAGGAATATAAGTAATTGGACCCAGTATAGTGTATAAAGTAATACAGTATTTTTTAGTCAATTCAGCAATGTACTGTATGGGGGTTTTGACATTTGTCTGGCATTCTTCAACAACATTTGTGCTTACATGCAGTTAGAATGCCTGTCTTGTGCCATCTCTCCTGACATACAATATTGTGATGCATGTGGTTTGTGAAGTCAAGCACATTTTATTGTATATGGGTATACCTTGAAACTTGATGGTGTCATTGATCAGTTCCAGACTGTCAGCTACGGCATTGTATTCGCCCACCTTCACTTCCTTTCCATCTGCAGAAAGACAAAGGGAGGAAGTTATAGGTTATGTTAGTTACTCTCCTCATACATTTGTTCAGTAAGTTGCTATGGATTAACATATAATTTACTAGGTTTAAAATAGATACTTAGGCATGAGATTCTCAAAAACATAAAAAGATATTTATAAAAACACAGAAGTGCTCTTCCGTTGTAATAATGTAGCAAGAATCTCTTTTCTAGTTCAGAAAACCACTTAATGCTAAGTAAACCTATCACAAGAGAAATATGAGAGCTTCTATAGATGGCTGCTTTCTGAAAAGACTAGTTGCCTGGCCATTACAGTATTGTGCTAGCTTTCATATTTTGAGCCAATGAGTCAAAAATAAGTATGCAGATCTACGCAGACAGATTTCCTTAGCTGAGTACTTTGTATGAGTCATTGACTAAAAGTATTGAAGCCAGAGAAGATCAGCATGGCAGCAACTAACATTTTGAGATGGAAAGCTCAGCAGCATGCATGTTACTATCATGACATGTTTCCTTTAAAGCAGAAATCCAGTTTTATTTATTTATAGCTCTCACTATGCTAAGCACATTGTCGTCAGTGCTGTCCCCCACAGAAACTATGTCCCACTGCCATTCTGTTTATAAGTTTATTAATGTCCAGTGTCATGCACCTCACTCCCTGTGAGCCTAGGCTGTTTTGATAGAGACCTTGGGGGTGTGTTACCAGGCTGAGTTGGGCTCACAGTACAATAAAATATTGAAGACTGTCCACCGAGGCCACAGGAACATGAGGATGTCATGTGCAAGCCAGAAGACTCCAGGAAAAAAGGTATGTATGAAGCCAATTTTTGAAAAACAGGAGATGGTTGTGGGGAGTCTGAAAGGGCCATTTTAAATAAAACTGGATTTCTGCTTAAACAAAAGCGAAAATGTAACCATTACCAAAAACTCCTCCATGAAAGCACCACGACATTTCTACTGCCCATATAATAAAGATACATACAACTCTGCATAACTTGTTACTAATTTATATTAAAGGATCAGTCCACCCAAAACTTATATTTTCATTTTCGGTATCTTGAAGATTTAAACTTGCTGTCAGGCTACATCTGTAAATGAAACATCACTTGTGGATGATTTGACTTGTATTCCTTTTTGTGGATCAAGCACATAGCCAGTGAAGTCTGAATACCCAACTTTCTGCATTCTTGTTACAGGTAAGATACTCATTAGGTCGCTAGGCAGGATTCAGATGAAAATCTTAGAACCCGCACCTTTTCAAGGCAAGGAATAGCAGCTTCCATTTTCTTTCCTTGCACAGGCCCAACCCTTTAAAGCTGCTCAATCACTTCTGCAGCTTTCAGAATGTGACACACCTCTCCCTCCTCACCCCCCCCCCCTCACTTCCTCTATGCTATCACACAGGGAGCTTGTCAGCTCCTTTTGAGATAGCAATAATGAGAGCATGAATGAGAGCAAAACGTCTAAGGCAATAATTCACTTTAATTCTAGATTGATGACCTGTAAGATCCCTTTCACACGGGCTGATCAGGAGGGAATCTATGCACGGGTCCCCTCCTGATCAGGGCAGTACAAAGCGGATGTCACTTCTGTGACATCCATGTCCATACAGTTTTTTCCTCCACCTTACAATGTCATGTTAGTCTATGGGAAAGCGGATGTAAGTGGACATGTGTGTCCGTTTACATAAGATTACCCTCCATCCAGCACGATATGGTCTCTGATCCGTTTCTTTTTCTGGACCTGGCTGGTGTTTACACATGGCTGCCCATAGACTAACATTGGGCATCTGATTGGATCTGCCTGAAAAACTTACAGGTGGACCCGATTAGACTGCCCATGTGAAAAAGGCCTAAAGGGATTTAACGCATTGCCTGTGGAAATGTTCAAAACCATAGTTTGTTGCAGTTTCATGGGTGTGTGCAATTCTAACGCTTGACATGTTTGGTATCTATTTACTTGACACAACATCATTCTTTATATTTTGCTAAAAAATGGGTAATATATTGTGCTTATGTGCACCAAAATTAACTTTAGCATATTTTTTACTGAAAAGCCAGCTGAAACCCAGAGACAAGATGTCACGATGCCATGCAAGTGCATGGAGGCTGTCTCTCCTTGCTCCCTCTCCTCACTGTCTCCCCTGGCTGTCTCTCCTTGCTCTCTCACCCCTGGCTGTCTCTCCTCACTCTCCTGGCTGTCTCCCCTCGCTCTCTCTCCTGGAGACATCCCCTTGCTCATCCTCCCGGCTGTCTCTCCTGGCTAAATAAAACTGGATTTCTGCTTAAACAAAAGCGAAAATGTAACCATTACCAAAAACTCCTCCATGAAAGCACCACGACATTTCTACTGCCCATATAATAAAGATACATACAACTCTGCATAACTTGTTACTAATTTATATTAAAGGATCAGTCCACCCAAAACTTATATTTTCATTTTCGGTATCTTGAAGATTTAAACTTGCTGTCAGGCTACATCTGTAAATGAAACATCACTTGTGGATGATTTGACTTGTATTCCTTTTTGTGGATCAAGCACATAGCCAGTGAAGTCTGAATACCCAACTTTCTGCATTCTTGTTACAGGTAAGATACTCATTAGGTCGCTAGGCAGGATTCAGATGAAAATCTTAGAACCCGCACCTTTTCAAGGCAAGGAATAGCAGCTTCCATTTTCTTTCCTTGCACAGGCCCAACCCTTTAAAGCTGCTCAATCACTTCTGCAGCTTTCAGAATGTGACACACCTCTCCCTCCTCACCCCCCCCCCCTCCCTCTTTTTCCCCC